TATGAAGACAAAGATGGTGTGGCCTTTTGTGTGGTCTCAGTCTATTTTCGTTATATAGAAGTTGTTTCACCTTGTTTTCGCAGCTTAGTCATATTGGTAAGAAGACTTAGAAAAGATCACCTAGTCCGGAGTCCATAGTATGCATGCTAATTTCTAAATTCGACGATGTCAACTACGATACCGGCGTTTGAGAATTTACCACGTCCACGGTCCGACTTCTGAAATGATCATGCATACAATAGACTCCGGACTGGATGCGTTTCTGTGAGTCTTCCTTCCAATATCGCCAAGTTGTAAAGACAAGGTCAAACAACTTCTATACTATATTAAATTTGATAGTTATTAAGTATAGAAGGTTTTCCTTGATTGTGTAACTTCGGCTGTCCGTAGGCTGTCGGTGGTGTACCGTTTCCTGTCCATTTTCACCGTCGATCCTCCCTTACCCGGATGAAGAAAAAATTGTTCAATCTTTTGTTTTTTTACGTATTCCATTCAATCCGCTCCTGTGTATTGGCTCCTGATGTGCCAGAATTCTTGGAATTATTTCCATTTCCATCTACCGCTTTGTCTTTTCTGGATATTTATCCGATATCTTGTCAACTTCCAAAAGAATATCATCATAAACTTTTCATTCGTTATCTAGAGAAAAATTTAATATCTTCCATAGGAGATACATGATTTCGGAATCAAGAGGGACTCAGGATAGGTTCACTACTTTATTCCTGTCGTCGTTGGCAGCAATTGATTCCATCAAAATTTGCTCGGATTGGCTTGAGCCCGCGTTGTCGCATTATACCATATGTAAGCAATTGCTTGTTATTTCACTTATTTATCAAATTCGTGACCCTTTGTGACTTTTTATCAGTCATATCCTAGAGTTCATAAAAATGCTCCGTAGTGGGAACCATGTATGGATACTTCCTAGAGCTAGATTTAATATTTCTGAACTTAGATAGCTCATGCCTTACAGTCTCGTAACTTTACTTTAATTTTCGATGAAGGCGTGATAAAGTATTTCATTAATTGTCTCCGAATGACGTTTCCTCATTAGGTTGCAAAACCCGGGAGTGGTACCATAATGCTTGCAGCAATTAAAAAAGGTTAAATGGCATGATTTACTTACAATTATCTTCTTTGTTCTGCTGTAATCCGTGCATTCTTAGCAAGACTCACTCAAGATTCCAGCGAAATGTCTCGAAACGTAGCAAGTCCTCTGGACTATGTTCGTTCCTCTAGGTCTTCTTGCCATTATGACCAAGTTGTGAAAACAAGGTCAAACCACTATTATCCAACTAAAGAAGACAAAGACCATGCAAAAGGCCAAACCATCTTAATCGTAATACCTTATTGATAATTTTTTAACCAGCTGATATGAAGCTGATGACCTCATAACTTATTGTATAAGTTCTACACACAAAACGACGCTTACTTTTAGGTAACCGATAAAAATTAAAATTTAATATTCCTTTTAAGCTGCACTAATTAAATATTGAAAATAGGTCGAAAAATAATAGCAATAGGCCTACACTTTCGTCCAAAAATAGGGTTTACAATTATTATTGAAGTTCGCTATTTGAAGTTTCTTTGAAAATACGAACAAAAGGGAGGCAATAGATCAAAGAATGTGGCTGTAAGCAAATGTAAATCTCCACTATCTTGATCTTAGTATCCAGGATCAGAGTAACATATATTATAAACTAGTTTCTTATGTAAATATATACCACTATTATTAAACTTTTATGTATTACTTTGTAAAAGTAATTATTTCTTCTTTTCTTTAGTCTTCTATTTTTAACTTTCTTCTTTACTGCTGTTGTGTGTATTTAGATACCAAGCCCAAGTGCCACAACTTCTGACCCTTTCCAAGCAGGCTGGAGTTTTGCTATCTCAAAATTATCTGGCCAGCATTTACAACATTTTTAGTGATGCAGGTTTTGAGCCTGGTAACATCCATTCTCTTTCGACATCTGCAGAAGAGCGCATCATGAGCAGCCAAGACGGAAAAGAGGGCATTGGAATAGAAATAGCCAGTGTAAATGAAGGAAAGAAAGTTTTTCAACGCCATGGAACAGATCTACAGGATAGCATTTGGCCCTCGAATACAAGGATTGCACGCCAACGGTATTTAAATAACATTGCATCAGTTACCTTTATGGATATCCGTCGAATGGTCTCTGTCGATGATACCATTGAACAACCTGGCTTATCGGCAGCTGTTTCCCCGGATGGACTCAGATTCAAGGCTCACCGTCTAAATACGAATTTTATCCACGGAAACCGACACCGGCGGTGGAACTCTGTCACAGAATATAAAAATGCTGAGTAAGTTGGTTCAGAGTATCTTTTTTTCTGCAGAATATTTCAGTATAATATTATACAATAAGACTATTATTATATTATAGTTATATAACAGAGATATATTCACTTTATTAAAGACTGCCATTAAAATAGTATTCACCAAAAGGATCATAATACTCTAACTTGAAAATGCTGATATATATATATATATGATTTTGTTTAATTTAACTTATTAATTTAAAATGTTAGTTAAATTTGAAGACATTTATAGGAAGGTCATCGATTAAATAAATTAAGTATGCCCAATAGTTTAACACAAATTAAATTTCCAACAAATCAGTTTTTTTATAGAAGCACATATCTTAAATAAAAATTTTATCTAAGTATTCTTTTTCGCCTTATAATTTTCGTACTCTGCGTGGAGATTCAAACTAATTAGCCCCAGTAAATTTGCATGCTCTTCCTTTTGTGCGTAGACAACCTTGACGAGAGCTAGATGCATATTAATTATTTTTATTTGATCAGGAGAGATAATCGAGTTTATATATTTCAAACAAATTGAAAAGCAAGATTCTTGCCAAATAAAACTTATCTAATTATTATTATTGTTAACTAAATTTATTCAATATAGATTCTCGCTTTAAGACTTGTATGAATTCATCGTATGCGAGCCTTCCCGAATATTAGTAAATGTCTGTTTAGCAATATCTCGTTTACGAATATGAGTTCTTCTTCTATAGTGTAGTAAATGAAGGTAAATATGCTCAGAATTTGTTCTACATAGATTCGCTTAACATCTTTAAATTTTACTCAATTTAAAAGGCATCTTTTATTTTCTTATTTGCCGTTCTAGAAAACTGACAGCTCTCTATTTTTTTACATAATTTCAAATTGACTGACTCAGTAAGGCAGTAGAAGTAAATATTATCATACTACTTTCCATGTTACTCTCTCTAAATCTACTTCGATATCTGAAATTACCAAGTGCATGCGATATACTGATGAATTAATTATTCGTAATATGTTTATTTAAAGTTCAATATTCTAACAAATTTATTATTATTATAATAATCTGAATCGATTTATTTAATACTAACATAATTTTTAATAATTTTTATATATTATTTAATATTTTAACAAATTTAACTTATTTAATAAAACCAGCCATCACAGATTTTAAGAGATTAATAAAAAACTGTTATTTGAGTTTCCTATTTAAAAAATGAACATTTTACATAAGAAAGTCATTGAATTTCATCTAGATTTTTCCCTTATAAGCCCATCCAGGTTACTCACAAAACTTACATCGCTCTAAACAAACTAAGGTATATCGAGTACTTTTTTTATTATGATAAGAGTTTTATTCCTTCATGCCCGGGATATAATAAAGGGGTCGATTGAATTGACAAGCATAGGCTTCCTTTATCTGCTACAGTCACTATAAATAGGAAGTGGTATAAATCTGCTTTTCTTTAAAGTCATATCTTCTCTGTAGACCAACAGGATCACTCTAACGTCCATGCGTGATTTTTTAATTGCATGATGTTGAAACTATTTAATATTTTAGCTTTTGGTTTATTCATACAGAACCAAATTCTACTCATTTAATTAAATTTTCTATAATATTTCATTTATCCTTTTACTTTTATTTTATAAATTTACAAATTAAAATGTTCAACTACATCTTTTATTGTGCTAATTAAAATCGTTTTAACTAGAAATAAACTGTTCTTGCCAAAGCCAGCTGACACTATGGATATGAGATCTTCCATAAATAAAAATATTAAAAACAAAGTAACTATGACAAATCCAGAGGAAATAAAGGAAAAAGAGGATATCGGAATCGAAACTGTCGATGCTACTGAGGATGAGTCACTATCTGAATCTTTGCAGGGCGAAAATCACTGGACTCGAAAAGCCGCTTTTGTTTTCAGCCTAACGCAAATCAGACTAATGCTACTCGGAGTTGATGCATTACTAATTGTTTCCCGCTGTCTACATACCTATCGTGTTGTCCGCCAGCTCTGGCTTGGCCGTGTCCATCGTCAGCTATTAGCAGTGCTCCATTCAAGCTTCGAAGCTTCAGTCGGTCCGGAAGTGACAAGGTCAGCTAAAGTCTGGCCTCCAAGAAGCCAATTTCGCAAGGAGCAAAACAGACCAGTAGAAGGCGCAGCTGAATCTAGCAAGGTGAAGACTATACCAAATAATAGGCGGAAACATAAGGAAAGTGAAGAAGCTAGAGCAATGAACGAAGGCACCGTGGCGGTCACTCGAGTTACTGGAGACAAAGGTTTAGGTTTGGGAGGATGGCCAAAAACTGGAAAAAGCCGCGTAAGCAGGTTATCTTTGTTTGAAATCAAATTTATAACGATGAATTTTTCTGGATTTAGTCTTATATATAAATAAATAGATAAGTACATAGACAAATAAATATAATAACTATCAGCAGCTTATTTTCAGTAAAAATTCATAGTATGAAAATGTACACTAAAGAAAACTTTAAATATGATAGGAAATTAAAAATACAGTTTTAATTCGGAATGAAATATGAGGATTTTTGCATTATATTGAGGAATTACTTCTAATAATTTTCTCGTCAAATGAAATCCAATTTGCAAAAATATCAAAATCTTATGAAAATGTTTTAATAAAACTTGTTAATTAAGAATCATATTTAAACATGTGTAAATCTACACACTCTCATGCAGCAGCACTAACAGGATGCGATGATTCATTTAGCGAAGGTATCATAAATAAAAATATGGAAAGTCTGTGTTTATTGATTTATGTTATCTTTGTTTCTGCTTTATATACGGCACTTATAATCGTAATATTGAGTTTTTTTGATTTTTCGTAAATATGTTGTGTACAATTATCGTTATAATCCTCATCAGTTTGATATTACCTCTCTTAACTTGTATACGAAAATGGCAATACAATAAATTTAAATTAAGCAAAGACTTTTTTCACGGTCGGAAATATTTATTCTACATCAATTTAGATGCGGACTATACCTAAAGGATGGGCGTATAGTTTTATAAATTTAACTATAATTTTATTAGTTTAGGTCAATATATTGGTATACAGTAATATATAAATTTTAATTTGAGTCTATTAGCAGAGCTTCACCAGTAAAATATTGGAACTCAGACTGGGTATTCCATCATAGATTTTCGACGTTTTTGGTAAATTAAATAGTCAATTGCGTATAAATTAATTTGTTTTCCTATCATAATACTAAAGTAAATAGAATTTTAATTGAGTTATTATTAGGTATGGAGAGCAAGAAAGAAGGCACCAGAAATACTTACACATAAGGTAAATATACAAGGGAATGAAAGTTAAAGAGGATATCTTTATCCCTGTATGAGGCTTTGATTAAGAAAGCGATTAAAATTAGAAAAAATTAAAAAAATATTGGCTTATCTTTCATTAAGTTTGAGAATGGAGGTCGAAGGGATTCATAGATTGACCGTACCGTACACCGCAGGCGAGTTTCCTTGAACTTTTGTCTGTTAAACTGTGCGAAGAAAACCTCGGCACACCGCCCTACGACCCCAATGACTCTGTACTGAGCTTTGATCCCTCATGCTACAAAAATCCTCAGAACCAATAACCAGTATTGACGGAAAAATCACCAAAAACACTAAACCGAGAGAGGTAGCCAGCTGAGATCCAACTTATTTCTTATACTTACTTTGCGATCTTAATGAGGCATTCTCTAAAAGAAACATAATCGAGGAAGGACGTATTGTTTCTTTATACCTGGTCTTTATACTCCATCATCTTTTCTATATAATCGTATCTATCGATTACTACCGCTGTTTAATAAACAGAGTATATAAAATGACTAAATTGACTATGGAGTTGGAACAAGACAATACTTTACCCTTTTTAGCTGTCATAGTAAAGAAAGGAGCAAACTGGGTAGAGATGTATATATGAAATCCACTAATTCTCGAACAATACTTATGTTGTTAAGGTAGTCATAATAAAATCAATGATAATAAGGAGTTTACGCCTTGTGGACGTAAATGAGGAATTAGAAAATTTAAGAAAAATATTAGTTATGGACAATTATCCTGTAGGATTAATTTTTAATAATTTCAAAATATTGAGAAATAGAGTTAACGAAACCATTTTTTTGGCAAAAACAAGAAATTAGACAACTCTTTGGTCAGGTTCCTAATGCTACCATCCTGCAAGCCTTCAGGAAAACTAGGCAAATTATAGAATGAATGGAGTGTCAAGACCAGATATAAAGAAGCAATACCCCTTTGCTCGAACATGCCTTCTTTTTAGAAAATCTTTCGACGACCTCTGAAGATCAGGTTGTTATAAGGTTTTGTGCTTATTTGCTAGTGCTTATGTGGGGGAGACTTGTTGACTCATACATACGAGGCTTTCCGAACATAGAACCACATGCAGATTTTTATGGATTCAGAAATCGAAAATGGCTCAACATGTGGTCATTACAGGACAACAGATAGACTAGTCTAAATTACAATGTTTTGCCGGTTATGGGGACTTTACAGCTAAGCGAAAGATCAGGAAGTCGATTGAAGTTAACGACACATAAAACATCCCAAATAAGAGAAGTAAGAGTGCAGGGAACTAACTAAGAATTATATCTGGCTTCTAAATATAATGAAAGAGAGAGAGAAAGAAAGAGTACAGGAAGGCCACTGAGTAAGAGGAGAAGACTAGAAAAGCTGGAGCCTGTTTTCGAACCTAAAATTGTCAACCAACTCGGAGTTGTTGCATACACACGGAAACACGCATCCATGAAGCTGTAACAACATTCAGGACTCTAATTTATTTACATACACAAAAATTGTGACTATATTCGCTCATCTGCTTGCATTACTTTGACCCGCTTACATTCATATAGGACAAGCATATACCAGCTAACCAAATCATGGAATTCCTCATTAAGATTGAAAAATGAGGTATAAGAAGTAAGTAGGATCTTAACTGGTCACCTTTCTTGGTTTACTGTTTTTGGGGATTTTTTCTTGAATAACGGTTTCTGGCTCTGACGATGACCGTCACATGACAGACGAAAGCTCAGCACGGAGTAATCGGGGTCGTAGGACTGTGAACCGAGGTTTTATTTGCACAGTTCAGCAGACAAAAGTCCAAGGCGACCCTCCTGCGCTATCTGGTGAGGTTAATCTTCGAATCCCTTCGACCTGCCTTCTCAAACGTAATGAAAGGTACGCCATTATCAATCTATTACGGGATTCTTCGAAACCCAGCTTCTCTTTAGAAGTGAAGAAAATGTAAGGTTGCTCACACATACCTCAAATAAATCAGAGCAGAGCAGAGGAAGTTTACGGCTGGATAAGGGAGCCGTTTTCAAGGGGCATTTGGAAAACATGAGAAGTCATTTCTATTGAGTTTATTAAAAGCGAGTATTTGCTCCAATGTTTCGGGGTTACTTTACAAGAGAATAGCGAATATGGTATTCACAGACATAATAAAAGGTTTTCCTTGTTGACATAAAAGCGATTAAAGTTGGGAAATACAATGTTTATAAGAACTAATTTCGCAGTTTAGTCCTTATTACTACAAGTTAAATCTAATGTCTGGCAATAAGATTTAAGACATTTCTACACATGCTATATTTGTATAAGGAGAAAACCAACTTATATTCGTCCTGAGAATCAGAAATTTGAAGCATTGCTCGGTATATCTACCGTATATGTGCTATCAAATGCTTGATACTGGTCAGGCGTAAAAAGACCTCATTAGAACGGTCACAGGGAAAGATGCAAAGTGCGATAAGAAGCGGTTCACCCAATACCCAAGGGAGAATTTAAAGAATCCGGATGATGTTGCTTGCAAGCTGAAAGGGCCAAGCGGGATCTGCAATTCCTGCATATGTAAGGTTAGTGTAATGCAGCAGGGAATTTGATTATGTCTCACTTAATCCAATCAAATGGAGACACCCATAGCCTAGACAAGCTATAATTTATGATAGAAAGGAGTGAGAAATGAGGTAATGTTGTTAATGAATGTAACAGAATAGACGAGAATTGACAACTTTTCCTTAAAACTTTATTTATTAAAAGATGGTGCTTGCAATGATGGCGAAATACTTGGGAATATACTAAGTTAACAGTCCGATGCTCTATATTATCGCCAGTAATATGGCATTCAAAGCCGGGTAAGGCATATTAATTGGAATCTTCCTGACATCATTACTTTGTTACGAAACTGGGAAAAAATCAATTTTCGAATTTAGACAAGTGCTATAAAACATAGATATATCATATAAAACTAATTACTCAGTTCCATATTTTATCACTTCAATATTTATCCAAACAATCTCTTTATGAGTAGCCAATATAGGACCATTTTCTAGTATGCCAGAGGACAGAGGAATGGGTAAGCTTCTAAGAGTCTCCTTTTCGCCCTAAGCAAAGTCTGAAAACGAGGTTGTACCATTTTATTTTAGTTAAGGGGGGACTGATATCAAACCTAAAGCTATACCATCTTGGTTTTCATGTCATGATAGGTAATAGTTGGCATTGCAATTCTTCATACATTTTATTCAGTCCATGGCCTACGACCGACTACCTGAGCCCGAGCATTTGAGCCAAGATCCATTATCTTCCGCGGAATGTCCTTCAGAAACTTTAAACAAAAGTTGTAATGCATCAATCATGCCTACATCGGTAGAAAATGAAGATATTTCAGTGGACGATTCATACAACTGCATGCAAGCAGGGTATTCAGACAAGGAATTAGTTGCTGGAGCGCTGAAAGGCATGCTTAGGGTTCAGACGAGTCGGCAGGATCTAATGGTAACATCACGAAACATAAAAGAAGAGAAAGAAGAATCAGAGCACAAAACTGAATCCAGAGTAAGTAACACTTCGTTTACACAATTATGATATCCCGATAATATGGGACAAAACTAATAAAAAGCGATATGTTAAACAAAAATGCTGTGAATGAAATTAAGAGAAATATAAAAGTTTTTGAATAATAATCCAACTTTGTATATTAATAAAAAGTCCTATGTGGTAAATATAATTATACAAAATGTATAAAGGTTAACAATATTTTTTTTAAATTCATATAACTGGGGATCCAAATATTCAGAAATTAAATCTAGAAATAGATCTTTCGCATTGCCCTTCATAAAGCCATTCATAGGAATTTCATTATCTATGGTTTTTTAATGAAAGGTAGAATTGAGTATATTAACAATTGCTCATAACTTGACTTTCCTAGTAAGATACTTCAATGTTATTTTCGTTTCGCACTCAGTCATTGATCACTTAGATGCTGTAGAGGGACTGATGTACTTTCAATCTGGAGATTAAAAGGTCATAAAAAATAAGCTACTAGAAGTTCGCTGGTTAGTTTAAAGAATTTTTACAGGGCATCTCAAGTTCTACAATAAACGAAGTGTAAATGCAATTTAAATATCAATCATAAAATCATGAAAGCTCACGGACTAAGCAGCTCTTTGTATGAACTGAGGGGCAATTAAGAGCGCGCAAATATATATATATATTATTTTATTTTTATTTACAATGTGTATGCTGTGTATACTTTTAAAAAATGAGCCGCTTTAAATTCATTGCAACATTTGGTATATTTTGAAAAGTAGCAGCGTTTAAAAATAAATATTATCCGATAATTTTAAGCAATATTTTTGTTTTATTTTCTATACTTTAAAATTCTATTTTCTAATTGTCATATTAAGCACTAGGATAATTCAAAGCATATCTCTGTTTCTAGTTCTTGTCTTCTGTCATTATTTGAGCATTAATTTTAATTAGACATGCTCACCTATAGCCATGATAATTGAATGATCTTCTACCGGAAAATTAAGTTGTCTAAAGCTGTTGGCCGAAACAATTCGGTCTTACACGTCCCAATGTATATTACTTCATATGTTGATAAAAATTGTAGACAAGCTAAGAAACCTTTTTTTCTGCAAATTAAGAGACCTGGCATTGCAGGCTAATTTTATACTAAAACATGCTGAACAGTGAAATACGCAAAAGTCAATTTGGTGTGATTTTATCGCCTATATGAGTGGTTCCCATAGTTTTCCTAGTCCCGGCGCCCTT